CTTCTATTCAACATACAGTTGGCCCTTGAACAATGCAGGGATTAGGGTTGCCAACCCCTGTGCAGTTGAAAATCTGAGAATACTTTTGAGTCACCCAAAACTGAACTACTAATATCCTACTGTTGACCAGAAAAGTTATCAGGAACACAAAGATTTGATTCAGACATATTTTGAATGTTATATGTATTATAGACTGTATTCTTACAACAAAGTAAGCTAGAGAAAAAGAGTGTGATTAAGAAAATCCTGATGGAGCTTGGGGCACAGTTATTAAGCGTCTGCCTTCGGCTCAGGTCATGATCCCAGGGTCCTGGGATCGAGCCCCGCATTGGATCCAAAGACTGTGGGGAGCCTCCTTCTTCCTTTCCAACTCCCCCTGCTTGTGTTCCCTCTCTTGCTGTGTCTCTCTCTGTCAAAAAATAATAGTGTGGAGGTTCCTCAAAAATTTAAAAATAGAGGTACCCTATGACCCAGCAATTGCACTACTGGGTATTTGTCCCAAAGACCCAGATGTAGTGAAAAGAAGGGCCATATGCACCCCAATGTTCATAGCAGCAATGTCCGCAATAGCCAAACTGTGGAAAGAGCCGAGATGCCCTTCAACAGATGAATGGATAAAGAAGATGTGGTCCATATATACAATGGAATATTACTCAGCCATCAGAAAGGATGAATACCCACCTTTTACATCAACATGGATGGGACTGGAGAAGATTATGCTAAGTGAAGTAAGTCAAGCAGAGAAAGTCAATTATCACATGGTTTCACTTATTTGTGGAACATAAGGAAAAACATGGAGGACATGAGGAGAAGGAAGGGAAAAATGGGGGGGGGATTGGAGGGAGAGATGAACCATGAAAGACTATGGACCTGAGAAACACACAGGGTTTTAGAGGGGGGTGGGGGGGATTGGTTAGCCCAGTGATGGGTATTAAGGAGGGCACGTACTGCATGAAGCACTGGGTGTTATACGAAAACAATGGACCGTGGATCACTACATCAAAAAGTAATGATGTATTGTATGGTGACTAACATAACATAATAAAATTTAAAAAAAAGAAAAAGAAATAAATAAATTCTTTAAAAAAAAAAATCCTGATGAAGCTAGAGTGTATTATGCTAAGCAAAATAAGTGAGTCAGAGAAAGACGAATACCATGTGATTTCACTCCTAAGGATTTAAGAAACAAAACAGATCAACAAATGGGAGGGGGAATACAAAGAACAGAGAGGGAAACAAACTGTAAGAAACTCTTGATGCTGGAAAACAGAGATTTGACAGAGGGGAGGTGTTTGGGGGATGGTCTAGCTGGGTGATGGGATTAAGGAGGGCACTGTTATGATGAGTAGTAGGGGTTGTAAGCAAGTCATGAATCACGGAATTCTCCTGAAACCAATATTGCACTGTATGTTAAGTAAGTAGAATATAAATAATCATTTTAAAAGAAAAAAAAATTCAAAAGGACAATACCTTTACAAGCAATGCCTGTATTTACTGAATAAAAAATGTATTAATTGGACCACACAATTCAAACCGACGATGGACAACGGTCAATTATACTACTGGAAATCCCAGCCAGAGCAATTACACAAGAAAAATAAAGAAATAAAATACATCCAAATTGGAAAGGAAGATGTAAAGGTCCTTATATTCAGGGGTCGCCTGGGTGGCTCAGTTGGTTAAGCGACTGCCTTCGGCTCAGGTCATGATCCTGGAGTCCCGGGATCGAGTACCGCGTCGGGCTCCCTGCTGGGCAGGGAGTCTGCTTCTCCCTCTGACCCTCCTCCCTCTCATGCTCTCTTTCTCTCATTCTCTCTGTCTCAAATAAATAAATAAAATCTTTAAAGAAAAAAAAAAGGTCACTATATTCAAATGACATTTTATATGTAAAAAAACCCTAAAAACAACATGAAAAAAACTATTAAACAGATTCAATAAAGTTGCAGGATAAAAAGTACATAAAAATATGTTCCATTTTTATATACTAATAATGAACAGGAAAATAAATTTAAAAAATAATATTTAAAACTGCATCAAAAAAAAAAAAAAACACAAAAAACACTTAAAGATAAATTTAACCAAGGAGGTGAAAGCCTATATACTGAAAACTGTAAGACACTAAGGAAAGGAACGGAAGACAACAGAAGTAAATCGACATTCCATGCTCATGGATTAGAAGAATTAAGTTTTAAAATGTCTATACTACCCAAAACCGTCTAGAGATTGAATGCAATTCTTACCAAAATTCGAAACACGTTTTACAGACATAAGGCAAAGAATCTTTAAAATTTGTATGGAGGGGCGCCTGGGTGGCTCAGTTGGTTAAGCGACTGCCTTCGGCTTAGGTCATGATCCCAGAGTCCCGGGATCGAGTCCCACGTCAGGCTCCCTGCTCAGCAGGGAGTCTGCTTCTCCCTCTGACCCTCCCCCCTCTCATGCTCTCTATCTCATTCTCTCTCTCAAATAAATAAATAAATAAATCCTTAAAAAAAAAAAAAAAAGATTAGTATCCAGTACATATAAAGCACTCCTACACTCAATAACTACAGCAAAAAAACAAAGTGGTTAAAAAGTGGGAGGATTATCCAAATGGACATTATCCAGAGAAGACATCCAGAGATCCAACAGGGACGTGAAAAGATGCTCAACATCATGAATCATCAGGGAAATGCAAATCAAAACAACAATGGGATAGCACCTCACACTGGTTAGAAAACTTAGTATCAAAAAGATGAGAAATAACACATGTTAGCAAGGATGTGGCCGAAAGGGAACCCCAGTGAGCTGTTGGTGGGAACGTAGGTAGGTGCATCCACTGTGGAAAAGAGTATGCAGGCTCCTCAAAACATTAAAACTAGAACGAGCCTACAATCCAGCAATTTTTCTCCTGGCCATTTAGCCAAGGAAAACAAAAACACCCATTTGAAAAGATACCTGAACCCCCATGTTCACTGCAGCATTATTCATAACAGCTAAGATAGGAGAACAACCTACATGTCCACGGAGGGATGAATCGATAAGGAAGATGTGGTGTATGTAGACACTGCAATACTCTTTAGCCGTAACAAAAAACAAAATCGTTCTTTTTACAACAACATGGATGGACCCTGAGGGTACGATGCTAACTGAAAGAAGTCAGAGACCAATACTCTATGACAACACTTTTATATGGAATCTAAAAACACCAAAAAACTGAGCTTAAAGATACAGCAGTCAGATTGGTGGTTGACAGGCAGGGGGATGGGTGTGAAATGGGTGACAGGGGTCAAAGGTTCAAACTTACAGGTATAAAGTCAGTCAGTCACAGGATGTAACGTACAACATGGCGGCTATATTTAATAACACTGTATTACAAGCTTCGAAGTTGTAAAGAGAGTGATGTTACAAGTTATCCTAAGGAAAAGGTCTTGTAAAACACTCCAAGACAAAACTGGATTTAAACAGGTAAGCCGTACACCATTGTTCAGAGGACTCAGAAAGTGCAGGGACCTGCCCAAATCTGTGCGGGAAACTGCCCTCCTGTTCCTCACAGAGGCTAAAGGAGAGCTTTGTACACTGGTGAGTGCGTGCACAGAACAGCATGTAAAGTGCCGGGCTCCTCTCTACCCAGAGCAGTGGGCACTGCATCCCGCTTACGGGTACAGGAAGATGCAGGGAGTTCCTGGGAGATACTGAAGAAGCTGAGGAAGAACAAGGCAGGGTGTATGGAAAGTGCCTTACCGGTTTTCCAAATCCCTGGGAATGTTCCATCATGTAGGTGTCTTTTGAGATGCTACCAAAGGTCGCCGCTGCTGTCTACTCAGGCTCTTGTGGCTGGGCAGCCAACTTCTTTAACTCACTGGCAACCTCTGAGTCATCACTGTCTCTTGACCGTCATTCTAGGGGGAGAGGAGCACATAAAATGGGTCTCATTTCTCTCAGTTGGGATGGTCTGTCAGCTCTTGATCTGAATCACTAACCACCGCCGTTACATCTGTGCCCATAAAGCACTGCGAGGGAATAAAGACTACGACGGTAACAGAAATAGAGAATACTTATCCCTCTGTATTCCTCTGGGTTAGGCCCTATTCTAAGCTGTAAGGTGCAGAGTCAAGCAGAGAGGCATGAGGGTTTCGGATACGCCCCAATCATGGAGAGGATGGAAGCACAGGTTTTGGAGCTGCAAAGACAAGGGCTTGAAATCTGGTTCCAAGCATTATCTGCGTCTCTAAGACTCAGAGGCCTATCAGGATCCTAGCCCACGGAGATGTGCAAACTGATAAAGGGTGTAGAATGCTTAGCCAGCGCCAGGCACAGAGCAGCTCCTCAATTAACTCACGATGGTAATCATGAGGATGGCAATCACGGTGTTCCTTCCCCGGTGCTAGCCATAACAATAACTAATACTTCTGTGATATTAATCCCAAAGACTCGTACTGCACTTATCTCGTGCCAGGAACCATGATTTACATTGACTTTGGAAATGGGTTCTGTGTACTACTTCACTAAATCCCCAAAACAAGCCTATATAGGTCCTCTTTGCAGGCCCATCTCTCAGATGAGAATTCTGAGGCCTGGCGATTACCTATCTTGCTCAAGGACACACAGCTGGAAGTGGAATAAGAGGAATGACAACCTGTACTCTGAACCAGTCTAGAGGAAACCCATTACCTACATTAAATCTGCACCATAACCCTAAGGTTTGGCTGTTCTGCCCACTTTACAGATGGAGAGACTGAAGCTCAGGCCCAGGGCAGAGGCCGAACTCACCTGGCCTCCCCAATGGGAGGAAGCAGGACTTGGCACTCCGCCTCAGGCTTGGCCACTGGGTCTGGGTGGCCCCCTGTGTCCCCTGCAGATACCAGGCTGAGGGGCACCTCTTCCTCGGAACCGCAGCATGCTAGGGTTCCAAGGACGCCGCTGCCCCCGGCTCCCTCTGCTCCCAGCCATACCGCCACTGCCCCCAGCTACCGCCACTGCCCCCAGCTACCGCCACTGACACCCGCTGCCCATCACAGACGATGCTTCTGACCGCCGACGCGGCTGGCCCACGCTGCCGCCCTCTGCCGCCTGCTGCTTGCTGGCTCTGGCTGCCCAGCGCTGACCCTGCCCCTACCGCCACCGGGCCGCTGCCCCCACCAGCTGCTGCCAGTTACCGCTGCCTACCGCCCCAGCCACCTGCCTGCCACCACTTCCTGCCGCTGCCGCCTGCCACCCTTGCCTGCATCCCCTTGCCTCCGCCTGCCTGCCCCCGTCCCCTGCCGCTGCCGCCGCCTGCTACCTCCTTCCACTGCCCGCCGCCCTTGCCTGCCTGCCGCGGCCGCCTGCCTGCGTGCCGTTGCTTACCACAGCCTGCCACCGCTTCCTGCCGCCGCCTGCAATCGCCTACCGCCGGCGCCTGTCTGCCAACCCTGCCTGCCACCGCCCACCACACTTGCCTGCCGCTACCTGCCTCCCTGCCCCCACCGCTTACTGCCGCCCCCTGCCTCCACTGCCTCCACCGCCCCCCGCTGCCACATACTGACCCCACTAACCCGGCATCTACCGCTGCCACCGCCCGCTGCTGATACTCCCACTGCTGCCTCTGCTGCCCGGAGCTTCCTCTGCTGCCCAACGCGGAAGCCGACTGACCCCAGCACTACTGCTGACGCCGCTGCGTAACCCGACTATGCCCGCCGGCGCTTCTGGCGCCCCTCCCCACGCTGACCCACGCTGCCGCCGCTGACCCGCCTGCTGCTGACCCCGCCCCTATCGCGGCGCATGCTTCCCCCGCCGGTGACTCCGGCTGAAGCCAATGGCACCTGCTGTTGAGGCTGCCACACACCGCCACCCGATGACCCGGGGCTGCCCAAAGCTGGCGCCCCTGCAGCCCTTGCCGCCCCTGCAGCCGCTGCAGCCGCAGACGCCCCCCGCTGGTGCTGTCACCGCTGCAACCTCTGCTGCTGCCCGCTGCCGCCTGCCACCGACTGCCACCGCCTGCCTGCCGCTGCCTGCAGCCACTGCCCACCAATGCTGCCACCGCCGCCTGCCACTGCCTGCCTGCTGCCGCCACCAGTCAGTACTACCACTGCCGTCTGCCACTGCCGCCCCCTGCTGCCGCTTACCTCTGCCTGCCGCCGCCACCTGCCTTCTGCCACCCACCGCCCTTGCCTGCGCCTGCAGCCTGCTGCCCGCCGGCATCCGTGACCGCCTGCCTGCCGCCGCCGTCTGCTGCCGCAGCCTGGCTCCACCGGGCCCAGCTACCTAACCCCGAGAATGCATGCCAACGCTGCCTGCCTACCCCCACCGCTGCCGGCACCGCCGGCCTACCGCTGCCACCTCCCTAATGCTGTTCTCTGCCACCTGCCTGCCCCCGCCGCCTGCCTGCTGCCGCCGCCTGCTATATCCTTGCACCACCCGCGGCCCTTACCTGCCGTGGCCTGCCTGCCAGCCGCTGCTTACTGTAGCCTGAACCTGCTACCTTTTACCTGCCGCCACTGCCTGCCTACCGCTGGCGCCTGCAGCCCGCTGCCCCCACTGCCTGCCTCCGCTGCAGCCTGCCTCCTCCTGCCACCTTCCCGCGCCACCTGCATCCGCTGTCTGCCACCGCTTCCTGCCACTGCCGCCTGAGACCGCTGCCGGTTGCCCGCCACGGCCCGCTGCCGCTTCCTTACCACCGCCGCCTGCTGCCGCTTACCACTGCCCGCCACCGCAGTCCGCCACCACCGCATGCCTACTACTGCCGCCTCCCAACAGCTGCAATTCCCGCCTTCCTAACACTGCTGCCTGCGGCCACCACCTGTCCCCGCCAACCGCCTGCCACTGCTTCCTGCCACCACCGCCTGTTGCCATCTGCGGCTACTGCCACCAGCCTCCGCTGCCTAACCTCGACGATGCTTGCCAACGTTGCCTGCCTACCGCAGCCACCTGCTGCCGCTGCCCCCTGCAGCCCGCTTGGCCCCACCGCCTGCCGCTGCCACCTGCCGCCGCTGCTGTCTGCTGCCCTCACTGCGTGCCGCCGCTGCGGCCCGCATAACCCTGACACCTGCCCCTGCCGCCGCTTTCTGCCACCGCTTACGGCCGGCTGCGACTGTCAGCCGCCGCTTCCTGCCTGGCTCCTGCTGCCTGCAGCCCGCCACGGCCTGCTGCATCGCCGCCTACCCCCGCCTGCTGCCACTTACCACTACCCGCCACGGCAGCCCCCCGCCAGCACATGCCTACCGCTGCCGCATACCTAACGCTGCTGCCTGGCCCTGCCACCTGCCGCCGTTTCCTCCCGCCGCTTACCACTGCCTGCCCCCGTCTGCCACCTCTTGCCGCCGCGGCCCCCTGCCTGCCCATAGCCGGGGCCTGCCGGCCGCCACTACCTGACCCCACCACTGCCCGCCGCCACTTCCTGCCGCCACTGCCTGTTGCCACCTGCGGCTACTGCGTACCCCCAGTGCTGCAGCCTGCCTGCAACTGTCTGCCAGCTGCCTGCCGCAGCCTGCCTGCCCCCGCCCCCTGCCGCCGCCGCCGCCGCCTGCTACCTCCTTCCACCGCCCGCGGCCCTTGCCTGCCTGCCGCCGCCGCCTGCCGCTTCTTACCCAAGCCCGCCACCGCTTCCTGCCGCCGCCTGCAATCACCTACCGCCGCCGCCCACCATACTTGCCTGCCGCTACCTGCCTCCCTGCCCCCACCGCTTACTGCCACCCCCTGCCTCCACTGCCTCCACCGCCTCCCGCTGCCACATTCTGACCCCCACTAACCCGGGACCTACCGATGCGGAAGCCCACTGCTGATACTCCTGCTGCTGCCTCTGGTGCCCGGAGCTTCCGCTGCTACCCAACGCTGAAGCCGACTGACGCCAGCACTACTCCTGACGCCGCGAACGCCGCGGACGCCGCTAACGCCGCGGACGCCGCCGCGTAACCCGCAGATGCCCGCCGGCGCTTTCGGAGCCCCTCCCCACACTGACCCACGCTGCCAACGCTGACCCGCCTGCTGCTGACCCCGCCCCTATCGCCGCGCCTGCTTCCCCCGCCCGTGACTCCGGCTGAAGCCAATGGCACCTGCTGCTGAGGCTGCCACACACTGCCACCCAATGACCTGGGGCTGCCCAAAGCTGGCGCCCCTGCAGCCCTTGCCGCCCCTGTAGCCACTGCAGGCGCAGACGCCACCCGCTGGTGCTGTCACCACTGCCACCTCTGCTGCTGCCCGCTGCCACCTGTCACCGACTTCCACCACCTGCCTGCCGCTGCCTGCCACCGCCGCCTGCCACCGCATGCCTGCTGCCGCCACCAGTCAGTACTACCACTGCCGCCTGCCACTGCCGCCCCCTGCTGCCACTTACCTCTGCCTGCCGCCGCCACCTGCCTTCTGCAACCCACCGCCCTTGCCTGCGCCCGCCGCCTGCTGCCCGCCGCATCCGTGGCCGCCTGTCTGCCACCGCCGTCTGCTGCCGCAGCCTGGTTCCACCAGGCCCAGCTACCTAACCCCGAGAATGCATGCCAAAGCTGACTGCCTAACCCCACCGCTGACAGCACCGCTGGCCTACCGCTGCCACCTGCCAATCGCCACAGCTGCCGCCTGCCTAATGCTGATGTCTGCCACCTGCCTGTCCCCGCCGCCTGCCTGCTGCCGCCACCTGCTATATCCTTGCACCACCCGCGGCCCTTACCTGCCGTGGCCTGCCTGCCAGCCGCTGCTTACTGCAGCCTACACCTGCTACCTCTTATCTGCCGCCACTGCCTGCCTACCGCTAGCGGCTGCAGCCCGCTGCCCCCACTGCCTGCCTCCGCTGCAGCCTGCCTCCTCCTGCCACCTTACCCCGCCACCTGCCTCCGCTGTCTGTCACCGCTTCCTGCCACTGCCTCCTGACACCGTTGCCGCCGCTTCCTGTTGCCGCCTGCCTGCCGCTTACCGGGGCTTGCCTGCCTGCCGCCCCAGCTGCCTGTGTCCCACCGCTTCCTGCCGCCGACGCCTGCTACCTCCTCGCACCGCGCGCCTCCCTTGCTTGTGGCTGCCTGACTGCCAGCCACTGCTTACCACAGCCTGCCCGCGCTGCTGCCTGCTGCCACTGTCGCCTGCCCTGCCGCCTGCCTTCACTTCCTGCCGCCGCTTCCTGTCACCACCTGCCGCCGCCGCTGCCGCCTGCCCCGCCGCTTGCCTTCGCTTCCTGCCGCCGCTTCCTGTCACCGCCTTTCGCCGCCACTGCCGCCTGCCCCGCCGCCTGCCTTCGCTTCCTGCCGCCGCTTCCTGTCACCACCTGCCGGCCCGCTGCCACTGCCGCCTGCCTTCGCTTCCTGCCGACGCTTCCTGCCACCTCCTGCTGCCAAGGTGCCTGCCCCGCCGCCTGCCTTCACTGTGTCACTGTACCAGCACCGCGTGGACAAACCACATGGGACACATTGACTGTTTTCATAGCTCCCCCTCTTCCTGATGCAATGGCCACATTTAGATGGAAAATACTACTTCAATACGTGGAAGAAGAACCATCAAGGGCAGCCTTCTAGCAAGAGATTTAAGAGAAGGGGGAAAGGACTAGGCCACTCTTCTCTCCCCTTCTCTCTGGGAGGACTGGTGTGATCTTGGGAATTTGCTAGAACAGCTCAGGGAACTCCTGGAAAGAACAGCTGCATCTTCTGTCGATCAGCACTCACATCTGGGACTGCCTAGAGTTGGAGAAGGCCCAGTTCTCCAGGTGAGCACCTGTTTGCACCATTCGCCATGTCACCACCTGAACAGGCTGGTGTCAACGTCCTCACATTTAAAAGAAGGATGAGCATCATGACACCAACTTCATAAAGCTGTCATGAGACCTGAAAGCCCCCACAAAACTCTTAACACAGCCCCTGGCATATTGTGTGTGCTCAAGAGATACTAACTCTTATGATCATTACTAATAACATATTAAAGTTTTCCACGACTAGAACCTTCCACAGATCTTGTTTTTTTTCCGGAATCGGTCATGGGTATTATATTTGACCAAAGATATACATTTACGAGATAGTTTCCAAGGGGTGAAGATGCATTGTGTCCATAAAACAGTTTTCTGCTGGAGCCCACATAGCCTTGCCTGCTTCAAATGCAGTGGGTAGCTCATGTCTGCTCTAGAGATTAGAAACACTACATGGGGAGCTTAAGGACCCCATGGTTCTGATTGTGTGACCTCCTGGCACAGAAAGTCATTCAACCTACTAAACCTCAGATTCCTCAACATCGCAATACACTTTACCGGATAATCTTAGAGATCCTCTCCAGGCAAAAATTCCAGTTCAACAGTTTTATAACCCAAGCTTTGGAGAATTTGTCTGCCATGTTTGCTCCTCTATTCCCAATCCCTGCCACAGAGAAGACACTAAATAAGCATTTGTAGAGTAAAAACATGGATAAATAAAAAAGATCCACTTGAAAAAATAAATCCAATTGATCCTTTTCCTCTTGAAGAAAAAAAAATAATTATTCATTAATTAGATACTTCCAAAATTTAATATTTCTGTCTATTTTGTTGTGCTGCCCATGTATTAACTGTGTAAAGCAATAATAATGCCTTCTTTTTTTTAATTTACTTTTTTATTCTTATGTTAATCCCCATACATTACATCGTTAGTTTTAGATGAAGTGTTCCATGATTCATTGTTTGTGCATAACACTCAGTGCTCCATGCAGAATGTGCCCTCCTCAATACCCACCACCATGCTAACCCATCCTCCCACCCCCTCCCCTCTAGAACCCTCAGTTTGTTTTTCAGAGTCCATCGTCTCTCATGGTTCGTCTACCCCTCCGATTTCCCCCGCTTTATTCTTCCCCTCCCGCTACCTTCTTCTTTTTTTTTTTTCTTAACATATATTGCATTTGTTTCAGAGGTACAGATCTGAGACTCAACAGTCTTGCACAATTCACAGCGCTTACCAGAGCACATACTCTCCCCAGTGTCTATCACCCAGTCACCCCATCCCTCCCAACCCACCCCCCACTCGAACAACACTCAGTTTGTTTACTGCAATTAAGAATTCCTCATATCAGTGAGATCATAGGATACATGTCTTTCTCTGTTTGACTTATTTCACTCAACATAGTACCCTCCAGTTGCATCCACGTCGTTGCAAATGGCAAGATCTCACTCCTTTTGATGGCTGCATAATATTCCATTGTATATATATACCACCTCTTCTTTATCCATTCATCTGTCGATGGACATCTTGGCACTTTCCACAGTTTGGCTATTGTGGACATTGCTGCTATAAACATCGGGGTGCACGTACCCCTTCGGAACCCTACCTTTGTATCTTTGTGGTAAATACCCAGTAGTGTAATTGCTGGATCATAGGGTAGCTCTATTTTCAACTTTTTGACGAACCTCCATACAGTTTTCCAGAGTGATAATGCCTTCTTTTTTTAAAATTTAAATTCAATTAGCCAACATATAGTACATCATTAGCTTTTCGTGTAGTGTTCAATGACTCATTAGTTGCATATAACACCCAATGCATATCACAACACGTGCCCTCCTTAAAAATCCCATCACCCAATTACCCCATCCCCCCACCCACCTCCCTTTCCACAACCCTCAGTTTTTTTCCTGGAGTCAAGAGTCTCTCACGGTTTGTCTCCTTCTCTGATCTTTCCTCCCTTCCCCTATGATCCTCTGCATTGTTCCTTATATTCCACTGCCTTCTTAGGCTTACAGTGAATACAATAAAATATAGTTCAGCAATGATATGTAGATTGTGGGAGTAGTAAATGAAGTTAAAGTATTCTAGTGTCCTCATATTTTCTGGGAAAAGATCAGAGGCTCTAATTTATATTTGTCTGTAGTAAGTCAAAGGCATACTTTTTACCTTTGATTGTAGTTACTAAAAGAATAGTAAGTGAATGTATTACTTCTGTAGTGCATTGAATGGTGGCCCGCAAAATGATATGTCAACATCTTAACTCCTGGAGCCTGTGAATGTGATCATATTTAGATATAGAGTACACAGATGTAATTAAGTTAAGGATATTGAGAGATCATTGTAGATTGCCCAGGTGCACACTAAATCCAATGATAGGTGTCCTTCTAACAAACAGAAGAAGATGGACGCACAAAAGGGAACACTATGGGACAGCAGAGTCAGAGATTAGAGTGACAATGTCACAAGCCAAAGAATGAGAACAGACACCAGAACTGAAGAGGCAAAGAAGGATTCCCTCCTAGAATGGCTGGAGGGAGCATGGCCCTGCTGACTCCTTGACTTCATGCTCTTGGCCTCCAGAACTGTGTTCAAGCCACCGTGTTTGTAATAATTGATTATAGCAGGCCATAGGAAATTGAGAAGTCTTTTATTTTAATTTTTTTCTCTTTCATTATTCAACCAATTTCTTACTTTATCAACTTTTTTTAAAATCTTTTTTTTTTCATTTTTACACTTACATTTTATCCTTTCATTGTATTTAATTTTATTTTTGTATATATATAAGTTTTTCTTTCTTTACAATTTTGGGATGCAGTTTCTTCTAACAAACAGACCAAAATACACCCAGAATCTAGCATATGGTTCTCTTCTCTTCACCTATCTGATCGTATTCTCTCTTTTTTGTCTTTGTTTTGTTTTGTTTTCTTAAAGTCATTTTTGTACTTTCATCTTTACACTTACATTCTATCCTTTCAATGTATTTAATGTTATTTTTGTATATATATGTTATTCTTTCTTTATAATTTTGAGATGTAGTTTCTTCAAACAAACTGAACAAAATACGCTCAGGATATAATGTATAGCTCTGTTCTGTTCACCTGTTTATATTCCTGTCTTCTTTTTTTCATTTTTTTCTTTTTTAATTTTCATGTCTACACTTACATTCTATTCTTTCACTGTATTTAATTTTATTATTGTACACACATAAGTTTTTCTTACTTTACAATTTTGGGATCTAGTTTTCTAACAAACAGACCAAAATACACACAGGATCCAGTGTATTGCTCTATTCTGTTCACCTCTGGTTATATTCTCCTTTTGATTCTTTAATTTCAATTTTTTTTTTTTTTTTAGTTTAAGATCTCTCCTGATTTGTTTAGTGTATATTTCTCTGGGGTCATTGCTGTCATTGTGGTATTTTGTTCTTTCATTCATCTATTCTTCCTGGACAAAATGATCTAAGACAGAAAAACTCACCTCAAAAAAAGAGAACAAGAGGCAGTACTGACTTCCAAGGACCTAATCAGTATGGAGGTAAGTAAGATGTCAGAACTAGAGTTCAGAATAATGATTATAAAGATAATAGGTGGGCTTGAAAAAAGCATAGAAGACACTACAGAATCTCTTTCTGGAGAAATGAAAGAACTAAAATCTGCGCGTGTTGAAATCAAAAAGGCTATTAATGTGATGCAATTAAAAATGGAGGGAGATCCCTGGGACATTTGCAGACAGGACCAGGAGTCCCTGAAGCCAAGGGAAACTTCAGATCAGGAGAACGGGCCTCGCCCGGGAAGGAGGCCTGAACACTTTGCCCTGATTGTCTTGTGCGCACGGACGGACGTGACCTGGCCCTGCCTTGAGCCCCTAGGTTTGCTGTAGGGCCAGGTGGGCCTGAGTGGCTGAGCTCCGGGCCGGGATCAGCCCTTCCCACCTCCCCCAGGTCTTGTGTGATTGAGACAACTTTCTACTTCATGGCAAAGTCAGGGGCAACTGTTTTCTGAAACCTGGCTGGCCTCCCCTCCCCCAGCCCAACTGCTCTGCCCTGGTTGCTGGGCACCGTTGACCTCATAGGTGGAACTCTCCACAGGATTCTCAGTGGTCCGTTGTGGCCACAGGACTCTGGCACTTGGAGACAGAGCTGTGGAGCCTGACGCAGCCATGGAGGGCCCCCTCTTGGCCACCAGATCCACTTGCCAGCTGGTGTTGGAGCACCTGTGGGGGGCGCTGCAGCTGATTTCTGAAAGCTGGGGACACACCCCGAGTCTCCCCGTGTTGCCCTGCGCGGTGCTCATATGGACTGTGCTGCTGGTTCTCCTAGTGAAGAGACAACTCACTCGAAGGAGCGCGAAGGCGCTGGGCCACAGGGGCTCTGCCCGCCACGAAGTGTGTGGAGCCCGCCGTGAGGAGAGTGGCCCAACCACACAAGCCGAGGCCGCCCTCAGGCCGCCCGCGGTGGTGGCCAGTCCTCCCTTGTTACAAGCCCTGTGCTTGTCGGCAATGAACACAGAACTGAGCAGGCTGGTGGATAGGGACACTGTCAACTTTTTGAGGAAGGCACTGAAGGAACTGGACCAGCCTCCCGACCTGCCCCAGGTCCCTGGGGAAAAACCCATCCTCAGAACATCGGAGAAGGATGGAGAACAGCTTCTGACGAAAAGAACG